GCTCTATTTTTTGTGTGTGTGTGTGTGTGTGTGTGTGTGTGTGCATGTGCGCGTGTGTGTGTGTGTGTGTGTGTGTGTGTGTGTGTGCGTGTGCGTGTGCGTGTGCACGCGCGCGCGTGTGTGTGTGTGTGTGTGTTTTTAAAAATAGATTGTTACACAAGCCATTCATTCGCTTATCTTTAGAGCAGTGCGTTTGAAGTTTGACTTGCCACTTGACGACTTACTACCTTTGAGAGACACTGTGATCACTCTTTCACCATGAAATTTACAATGGACTCCAAATGCTAAGGCCAAAACACCTCAAGTCATTTATCTGCGGACCCCCCTCCCGGCCCGCCCCACACACACACAGAAGAAGGCATTTTTATTAATTTCCTCTCGCTGGGGTTTTACTGTCTCACAAAAGATCAGTAAAAGTCAATGCCCCGCAGTCAGGCTGTCTTTGACAGACATGAACCCTCGAGCTGAACACTATACCACTTGACAAAGAGTCAGATATAGAAAGCCAAATCAAAGAGACAATGGGGATAGGCAAAATGGTTCTTTTTTTGGTGTCATTGTTTTTTGCTACCCAAGACGTTTACCTTGAAAGGTTGTCAGTGGATACTGAAGTCAACACACACAGTGTGAAGTTGTGGACTCCTTGCCAGGCCCCGAGTCAAACAAGCACTGTGTGATACTTTGTCTGAGTCACGGAGAACAACAGAGACTCTGCGCCACACTGCTGTAAAGGGTAAGATAACATCCGGCTTTTAGGCAAACAGGAATATCTCTCCTTACCAGCTGAACGGTTTCATGAAATGATCCAGGACAAACATTTTTGTCACAAAAGGAAATGGGGAATAAAAAAAAAAAATTAAATTTAAAAAGCAAATAGGGATTGAGAACGATATTTGGAACTGTGAGACACCAATGTAAAAAACTGACAATCCATCTGATTTGTGTATTTGTTTTGTGATAAAAAACAATTATTTGTGGCACACACATGGTAAGCTGAAGAAGCCAAATCAGCGAAAGATACTACATACCAAAATATTCATGATATCTTTGCTCATTTTTATGTGTGGCAACTGGCAAAGCATGATGGTGTCCAGAAAAACAGTACACTGTACTCTGCTATTGAACAAGATGAAGGGTGCAGTACAACGATGCTATGTACATAATATGATAATATGACAGATGCTACAAAGGATACTACTTCAACTCATGATAAGGTGGAAACAAAGTGATTGAGAGATATAAATCTATTATTTGGATTAAACAACAGGAATTGACATTATTCCCAGTGAGGTATGAACATGTTCAGGTTATTTAATTCAGTTTCGATTGCTTATGTTGTGCATTGATTTAGGTATTATTAAAACCAGCATTTTCAGAAGGTATTCGACAGAGATTTTCAATTTACCTTATGTTCTGCACCATGAGGCGCTTGGGATTATAACGCGCACATTAAATCAATGGCCTGTTTCAAAACTGTTTTCAGGTATAGGGCACACTGCATTCACTATAAGGCGCATAGAATAGAAACTACAATAATGACTGCAGTTGCAGTTATTTTATATATATATATTAGAGCTGTCAAACGATTAAAATATTTAATCGAATTAAAAACTCAACTGACATAATTAACTCAAATTAAATCATAATTAATCGTGATTACCCACACATTTTTTATTGTTTCTGAATTTCCTTTTATATTTTTTTGTCCTATTTTTTCCCGTGTTAATGCTCTCATCAACATGGAATCATGTATCAGTTTTCTATGTGCAAAATACAAATATTTACTGAAACAATTTCGATTTTCAGTTTTACATGAACATTTTTCACTTGGAGCAGTTATTCACACATAATCTCTCACACAATATTACTGTCCAACAACAGTGAAAAAAATATTTTGCCACACAACAGCTCTTTTAACAGCTCTTTTTTGGGAATCAAAACAGAGCAATATAAAATTATAAAGTGCACATCTAAGGTAAACTAGTACTCAGCCTATGGTGGATTTAAGCCATGGTTGCATATTGCGTTTTTCTCAAGTTTGCTTTGAACACAGCAGTCAGGCTATGTTGATTCCGTTGGTCGTTCTTGCGCGGAAGTCTCTCTATGGTTTCTATGGACGTCTACACTTGGTTTGAGGCACCGCTGAACTCTTGACGTGCCTCAGCGCATCGTCACTGTCAGACTAACACAGAGAAGCTCCACCGCCTTTATTTATATGGACAAGGAACACGGTAACCTTCCACACAAAATAGTTCCAAACAAGTAAGAATCGCGTCAGTGGCATACATCGTACTCAACAGGCTACCTGCTCTTTATTCACCAGAGGCTCATCAATCTAGTCTCTTATTTCTCTCCTGAAACAGTGTCTTCTCCCACTTGGTATACCTTAGCCTTCTCCGCTAACGTACAATTTCTGTACATAGCTTGTCATGGAGGCTCTCACTGGCAATCCATCGTAGAGTCGTTAGATGCAATGCGAATGATTTCAGCTTGAGTCGAGCTGCGGACGATGTGCACAGGCTTGCGCGCGGTAGCCGTACGTTGAGCTTTGGCTTCAGCGAACGCGTTCTTCGTCGCGTTCTCCGTTTTCTTCGCTTTGACGTGACCCCGAGCTGCCCGTCGGAGACCAGGGGGCGGAAACTTTCCATTCATAAACTCTTTAAGTATCCGTTTTCGGTGTCTCGCGCTGCCGTGGCTGGCAAAACAGACATGGGCGTGGACTTCTGCAGCGCGCTTGTTGTTTTGTTTCCGGCGTATTTACAGAGCAACGTAACATCCGCTGTGTCGTGTGCCGCATTAATCTCGCGAGAAAAAAATTTAATCACGTTAAATTCATTTAAATTAATGCCAGTAAGAACGCGCTAAACTGACAGCTCTAATATATATATCAGAGATGAAAGTCCTCCGGCTTTTCCCGGAATTCCGGGTTTTTCAAATTTTTATGAAAATCTCTCCGGAAAATTTGCCTAAAATTAATCCGGATATTAGTTGACAACATTGAACGAAGAC